CTGACGGCTCGCAACATCGCTGCGCTGCGAAGGCCACAGCGCGCGATGGCCGTCAGGATAATAAGGGGATACCGTACGATCTCCTTTGAGGCAGCGAGCCTCCTAGCCGGATCCCCGCCCTGGGACCTCGACGCAAAGCTCCTCGCGTCACTCTATTGGTGGCGTGCGGAGGCAGTCGAGCGGGGCGAGCGCCTGGTGCCTCGACAGGTTGAGGCACGCAGGGCAGAACTCCGCCAGGCCTTAGTGGCGGAGTGGCAGACGCGTTTAGCGCAACCCACGGCGGGGCACGCCGCTATAGCGGCGGTAAGGCCAATTCTACAGGAGTGGCTCAATAGGAGACACGGCGCCCTCAGCTTCCGGCTGACGCAGGTGCTTACCGGACACGGGTGTTTCGGGAAGTACCTGTGTCGCATAGGCCGGGAGCCGACGTCTCAGTGCCACCATTGTGGTAATTGCCGCGACGATACGGCGCTGCATACGTTGGCGGAATGTCCAGCTTGGGCCGAGCAGCGCCGTGACCTGGTCGCGGCCGTAGGTGCTGCGGGAAATCTCTCGCTTCCGGCTGTAGTGTCTACTATGGTCGGGAGCGAGTCAGGGTGGAGTGCCGTCGCTATCTTTTGCGAGGCCGTGATGCTCGCAAAGGAGGCGGCGGAAAGGGAGAGAGAGGCTGCCTCCTCTCTTCCCTCCCGCAGCAGACGCACTAGACGTCATAGAGTGGCCGACCTGCGGCCACCGTAGGGCGCGGCCTGCGGACGACAGACTCGGGGCGTCTAGTCGTCCGACCAGCAGCAGGCCTCGAGGCGGCGGTGCCGTGTTCCGCGCGCGCCTCGTAGTGGAGTCCTGCGGTCGGGGTGACGGCCGCAGTGGGTGACGGGGCCCGCCTTACCATCTGGCGGGCCAATACCCGTCGGGGGGTTGCGACGAATGCTTCGGCGATACCCGCCCCTCCGACACATGGGTTATTGGAGGAACACCGGGTTGGTTTTTAGTCAGTAAGAGTCTGACAGTACCCTTCGCCCTTACCCCGAGGGCGGTGGGTCTCCATGAGGATTTTCCAACCCGACACCAAAAAAAAAAAAAAAAAAAAAAAATGGTTTGGTGACAGCTAAGAAGGTTAAGACATATTTTACATTGAGAGATTTGCTTTTATGTTTTCACATCGCAGTGGAAAATAAAGTTTAAAAAAATGTAAAGAATATGTAGATAACGTTAGTGACAAAACCTGTTTACCCGTTCTGCACTGGTACAAGAATAGATGCAAGATAAACGATCTCGTGTCGGAATATCTGGCGGGATATCGATAGTATGAAAGCTCAAAGCTGTGGCATGCAGTGTGCCGGAAACAATGTTATTGATGTTTTCCAGTAATTTGACTTTGATTTAAAAATATTTTATTTTACTATTGTAAAAGTACTGATCGCGTAGAATGCTAAAATAACTACCTATTCATTCCCAATAGTATTGTTATAGCTAAAACCAATGTTAACCCCGCCAGTTTATGAAGTCATTAAAGACGAACGTAAAATTGAGTGAAGTTAGTTAATAGCCACTAGTGGTTCAACAATAATAGGTTCTAGGTAACTCTATCATTATAAGTAGGTATAGATTCAAGGTACACAAAAAAAGATTCCCATGCCTATCTGCGAATTTACTATAGGTATCTAAATTCAAAAACTATTGGACGGATATGAAATTTTCACAAGTACCTAAGTAGTTAGTCACATACATTAGTTGTTTGTGATTTTCAGAGTAGGTACCTAGTTAATTATCTGTGCTTAAGCCTTTGACTGCCGACAGAAAACTGTTGAACGCAAATCCTCCGCTAACGGAGGTCACCGGTGACCCCCATGGCTTTTAACGTGTTAAGAACTCTGTACTCTGTATTTATTTATATGTAGGTGTATCTACTTTTATTTGTGAAAATTTCAGAAGGTAGGTACTGCGAGCGGAAACCTTGTAAAGTTACGTTGTTTTTGAATAATTTGTAAAGAAATATTAATTTTAATCCTTTGTAGGTAATATTGTTACTTGTTGTGAGTTTGTGAAAATTAAATGCACTATAAAACTATCGAACAGATTTAAATGAAAGATAAATTATAGTTTGGGATAACTTATTATCTTTGGACCACGGGGCGGAAGTCATTATATTTTAAGTTAATCTTGTTGTTTCAGATAAAGTCAAGAACACGGCTAACATTGGCCTAGTTCTGTTAATGATATTAGCAGCCTATTCACATGTCATGGTGGGCGATCCCTTTGACCGCTGTGCTCCAGCGTTGGTTTTCTTCTTTATGCTGAGTGGAAGACTTGTTGTTTGGTAAATATACATACTTATTTATTCTATTTATAAACCACAATAGGTGCAAATAAGTGAGAATTGATCAAATGATAATAATTGGTTATCAGTTACCAAGTTCCGGGTGTTTCGTATTTTGTAGAAACTCATATCCATATTGATTAGGTACTTAGGTACTTATCTACCTATTTAATAAATCTAATTAGATATACATATACAAAACCACTGAAAAATTAAAAACCGAACGGAACTTATTCGTTAACTAAGATCTTTAATAATTTGGCTGTAAGCAACGCCCGTGGGTAGTAATTATTGACGTCAGTGCTGGTCAAATTTAGCCGAATATTCTTCGAATTCATGTCGTCGTTTTGTTGGTATAATTATAATAAATTCAAATATTTATTAAACAAAGGATACAGATAAACCGAGTTTATCTCGCACTTATATAATGAAAATGCAGTAAATGCCCAAAGGTTTTTGTAGAGGGCATTCAATGTATTAAATATTGATTAAAGTTTAACTGAAAAACAAACCATGACTAAATGTTATTCAGCTTCACGACTTGTTTAAGGGACAATACTGCACCTTGACCAATTTTTATGTGTTATAAACATGAGTTACGAAATAAAATTAGTGCTATCGCACGCTACCATTGCTCTGGCAATCGGCCAGGGAATCCGCGATGACGAACCACTGTGTCGCGCGAATAATACCTACACGTTCCAGTCGATTGGGTTATTGCAACTTTCTAAATTGTTATAGTAATTAGTGGAAGTAGGCTCTTCGTCTTTCAAAATTATATACCTAGATGCTTTAGTTACAATTGACCAAATAGGTTTAAAATAATTTTACTTAGGTACTTATTACACATAAATTCACCTACGCATCATACCCCATCCCCGAACAACAATTTGTGGATCACACAAGTTGTTCCGTGCGGTAACCAATACCATACCCGCGACACGACAGGCAGTTGCACAGCTACCGCGCCATGAGGATATAAAGCCTTTTATATGTATAGGTAGTTCATATGTATATTTAGTGTGTACCTACTGCCTAATTAAGTAGGTACTTACCTAATTAAAAGTAAAATTAATATCAAGAAAGCGTCTTGTGTGCACATTTAGGCAAGACTTGTGTCTCTGTCTTAGGAACCCAAAGAAGCAATGATATCAGCAAATATTAACAAAGTAAAATTGTTTGTCGTTATACAGGTATCAAATAAGCCGCCGAGAAGAAATGGAGAGAGCTGCCGCTACACAAAACGGGAATGGGCTCAAGAGAGAATAGTCAAGTCTTAGAATAAGATATTATATACGTTTATAAGTTACCTAACAGCATTCTTTCAAAATGCTATTGAATATTACAATTTAGCCATATTTTTACCGTAGGAAATAAATAATGAAGCTACCTGCTTAAAAATATGACTAAGTTTGAAATGAATGTCTTAGCATTGTAGATGTTAATTTTATTTACTGATCAACTTAGAAATACAAAAATATTGCTCGGTGGGTAATTAATTGATCACACTGTGATGATGCTAGTCAAAAGTTGCGACATATTAATTTTGTTACATTACTACTCAGCTTGTTAGTATAAACCCTGTTAGTGCATATTCGTAGTTACAACGTGTCAACCACCTGGTGAATTGAAATAGAACATTCGGTTGGATTTAGATTCTCCAGGTGGGTGAGCTTCATGAGAGTAATTTGTACCTAAAAGTGATATTAATTTAAGCGATATGTGCTAGGTTCATTTTGTATGTGTGAGTGATGTGTACGTGTGTCATATTTAGGTCATAATAATAACTGCCAACGCGTATTGATAGGATTAACAAATATTTACTTACTGCACTTGTCTTATAAAACAAGGTAAAAATTAAAACAGCACATTTTAATGTTCTATGTATTATCATTTGCTCAAAACTTCTCATTTAATAATTTAAAAGCTTTTTAATACCTAGTGTTTTCTTCTTCTATAATATATTTATTTCATAAACAAATAAAGCTTCTTTACTAAGTTACATTAAAAGGCAACATTAATGCAAGGATTTTATCTTACTGTTCGTTATGTGTGTGTGTGATGTAAACAAGTGAAGTAATGGTCAATGAATAAATGGAAAATATTATTTACTTGTTTTATTTCACCCTTATCCGTGTAAGCGGAAACTGAATATTATTTATACCACCATTAACAGAACGTATTTAGTAACAATAGCTTTTCTAATATACCATTTGGTCAAATATTATGTACATACCTACTCGTACTATGTACTGTCATAGCAAAACAATTCCCTAATCATAACAACATTTTGGAGTTGATCAAGACTTGAAGTTTGTAATTTATTGTTCTCACAGGTAGTAGGTATACTAAAATATATCTCATCTTAGCGCCTGGACATAAAAATAGATAAATAACATTTTATTGCATTCCAAAACTACAAATGTTTAATGCAATACGAGGGACGAGTCCGCTACCGGGAAAGACTAGGTACTGTGTTATATTTTTAATATATGTGTTATAGACGTGTAGACAAAAATTTTGTGTTTAGTTGCAACCAGCTTGAATTTGATAGAGTTGAAAATGTAATGTTTACAAATTATACACTTTTATCTTTGTTAGCGTCACCGCGACGCGCAGTCAGCTAGGTACCTACTGATAGGGCTTGTCTCCGTTTACGCATATATTAAGAGTGTATCGTTATGTTTGTTGAACACATATAATTTTATTTATTATTGTAAGAAAATAATAAGTTTCATTGTTCAGTAACAAGATATAATATATTTGTTATCGCTTACTTTATTTAAAACAGATTCATTTCTAGCAAACACTTTTATAACAGCTATTTGCCTATAATCATTAGAACTAGCGGATATAGAAAGACCCTTACAATGTATATAAAATGCACGCAAGCCAGAAAAAAATCGTAATTGATTGTACTAATTTAAAATCATTAAGTAATTATTTTCAAAACATAGTAAGTAAAATATGGCAGCAGGTGGGACAACACAGTTTTTACTTAAAATCAGAGTAGTTTAGACAGTAACATTCAAAGAAAGTCAAGGTTTAATGCTGCCTTATATTCAGTTATATTATTTATTCGTGCAAGCTTATAAAACATTGAACAATTATATTGTATATAATAATAAAGTTAATTAGTTTTAATATTGCCTCCAACATAACTTGATAAAGCAAATAGTAAAAATAAAACAATTTATACAAACAGTATGTATATCACAATATGAACTGTTATTATTCAAGCAGGATCACGACCTGTTTGCAGTAATTCCAAGGCATTTTTAAGATTGCCTACAGCGGTCTTAATATCATCATAGTTGAGTGCACTGCTTGCCCATTTACAATATTTTTGAGCTTTTGCGATTTGATCTGGAGATAGCTGTGCAATTCTGTTGTCACCATATAAATTAGTTGGTGTTGGTTCTGGTTGTTGCTGTTGCTGTGATGGATCATAAGGAACGAAACCGCCAGGGTTTGGATCAGGAGTATATGGTACTGGTGGGAGTTGGGAAGCTGCTCTCATTGCAGCGTTGGGATCGGGCAGAAAACTGTTGAAACTGGATGGAGCTACTGGTGGTGTTGCTGGAGTGACAGTAGTAAATCCCGGCACTTGAGGCAAATCTGTAGGAGCAGGTGCAGGCGCTGGCGCAGGCAAACCGTCACTCGCAGGTTGTTCAGCATTTTCATCTCCCTGTTCTGATTGCATTGGTCCTGCAAATTTTCAAAAGACCAATATTAGTCTACTACATAAAATGAGAAACCAACTATAGTCAGACTTTTAATTCGATTCCTGATTTGACATTGACCACTGTCATTTTGTGAAATAATGATATAAGTGTAGTGATGAACACAAAAAATCGATAAACAATCAGTGAATCAGTTTCAGGAAGGCATTCAAAAAATTACGGCTACCGAATGGTCTAAATGTGTATCCCATGTTTTCAAAGAAGAGGAAAAAATTAGTAAGCTAGATATGATAATTGACAATAAATATCAAAGACACAATTCATAATAAATGTTACATAGAGTAACGGCGATAGCGATAGCGATGACGGCGACAATTTATAAAATGTCTGTTATATTTGCTACGTTCCTTTATGATCACATTTTTAATTAATTTCACACACAATTACAAAAGAAAAGTCTCAGATCCATAATTAATTGTCAAAACTAAATTATCGGTTCAGAAATATTTTATTTCCTGATAAACTTAGTTTACGAGAGTAAATTTATAAACGAGAGGAATACATTCAGAAATATTCGATTTCCATATCGAATAATTTCGCAACGTCACTATTTATTACGTGTCATAACGTTGCAACACTGAAATTGTCAAATCTGGAATGGAATTAAAATTCCGAGTATAGTACCACCCTTTTTATATCAATAGAAAATACATTGTCTCGCTTGTACATACGTATGTTGTAGTAGAGTTTATAATACGCCGTATTACATTACGGCTAGCTACTATAAAAAAAACAGAGTCGTTTTGAAGTACCTACGGCGGATTAAAAGCGGCTGAATAAAAAACAGCCGGATTGTATTCGGCGCCAAGAGTCATTCAACACGGCACATTCACGTCATAAAGCGAGATATTAGCCGCCTTTTCGACACTTTATAGTCAGGCTTTTAATTAATAAGTTGGGTTAGAACTCAGTTGACGCAGTGGCTGGGCACTTTGTGCGATCCACAAATTGTTATTTCGGGTCTGGGTGGCTTGAGTATACATGTGAATTTGTATGTTTGTAATCGCAACCACGACACGAGAGAAAATAATAGTGCGGAGCAACACTAGTATTTTCGGTCATCACATCAAAGGCGTCGTGATCGATGACAATTAAATATAAATATTAATACTATTTAAGTACAATGTGGCTAAACCTAGGGCTCCTTATTGGATAACGCTTTGCAATGACAATTCGGCTAATAGTTGAATTGCCACATTCCAAAACGTTTCTGTTTATGTTTTGATAACAGCTAGACGTAATTTAGTACAGAGGATTATACAATACTACCTGCAACATAACCCAAACTTGATTATTTTTGTAAAACTAATTGCCAATTGAATACCATTATTTTTAATGCACTATAAGCTCCATAAGACAGCTGGTGAATGTTGAAATTTTGTAAATACTGGATGATAATATTGTCCTAGTTGTACAGTACTACAACTAGACATTATTTTAGTATAAGAATGTAGCATTGATATCATTTCTATTTCGAGTGTCTATTCAGCTGTTCTATTATTAACTAATTAATTACTCAAACCACTCAAATGTACTATCATAGCATGTAAATACAAAAGTATGAGTATGTGCACTGAAAACACATTGATATGATAAGAGAAAAAGATAAATACAAAAAAAACACAGAAGTATGGCAAAAATAGAGGGTTTTAGTTATAGCCATAACTAGTAATGTGTAAACCTGGATTGATATGACACTGGACAATATCAGCAGCTTAAAAGTTATATCTATAGGTATATATATAAAAGAAAGTTGTGTTAGTTACTCCACTTATAACTCAAGAATGGCTGAACCTATATAAAAGAAAGTCATGTTAGTTACTCCACTTATAACTCAGGAACGGCTGAACCGATTTAGCTGAAAATTGGCAGGGAGGTAGTTTAGAGCCAGGAGAAGGACATAGGATAAGATAGAGAAGGGTATGTAGAGTAGGGTATGTAGAGTAGGGTATGTAGAGTAGTGTATGTAGAGTAGGGTATGTAGAGCAGGGTAGGTAGAGTAGGGTAGGTAGAGTAGGGTAGGTAGTCAAATGATGGGAGCGACGCTGCGGGTAAGAGCTAGTTGTATATAAATAATACAAATTAATCCTGTTTCCACTAGTTATGGCATCACATGTGAATTACCTACTCTCCCAGTTTCATAAATTCTTTTTAATGTGTGTCAAAGCTAGGTAAACTTTTGTTTAAAAGAAAAAATTGAAAAGTGGAGGGGATAATCCTTTCAGTGCCATGTTGGGTAAATAACATTACTGACACTGAATTAGTAGCAAACGAAGCAGGCCACTGGCCTACCAATAATATAGTTAGGATTATTTAACATTATGGACAGTACCTGGAACAGGAGTCTCTCCATTCTTGAGGCAGTTGTGGATGTAAGCAGCCTTCCACTTGGCATACTTTCTATTTTGGGTAGCTTCATCAGTGAGCTCACCAAATGTAGTCAGGACATCATAAATCATACCAGCTGTGTAGAAAGCCTTTACAATATTTCTGAAAGGTATCAACATATTCTAGTTAAATAATGCTGCATAGGTTGTAAATAGGTACATTTTATTTTCCTTGTCTTAGTAGGCAATCTGCATCTATTTTACAAATATTGAATAAAACCTATCATTCTTCCTATGTATTAATCTTTTATTCACCAAAGAGAACCAATTTGATATTAGTATTAACAAGGAAAATTGAGATACAGGATTTAGTAGTAAAGTAACTTCTTACTTTCCATAATTTTGTTCTCTGTCTTGTTTATCAGCATATAAAAATAGTTTTAATGCATAATTTTCAAGATGGGCTTGCGCTGCTACTTCGTTAGTAATTGCCTCATTTTCTCGATTCGTTTTCTTAGCCTCTTCTAACCAGTCCATTAAACCTAGAACAGAACTTAATATGTAATTGAAATTCTATAATATTCTCTTAGTGAAGCTTATCATGTAAAATACCCATCAGTAATTTCGTTTCTTCTGGGGTTTTCTTGTTAGCAATTTTCAGTCCCACTTGTAATGCATGAAGTCTACACCAATAAGCCACCACTGGATCTCTAGTATCATGTTCTGCAGCAGTCTTTAGGTAATGCTGGATTGACTTCAAGCTTGCTGGACACTCGGGTATATTTACAGACATATTTTATTAAGCTGAAACGATAACAAAACATAAACTTAACATAAGATACATAGACAAAATAAATAACAACAAGAGCGATGAATCATATTATCAACATTATGTAGAAGGGTAAAGTAAGTATTTCCCCCTTACCTTCGTCAACTACGAACGAAATTTTAAATAAACAAGAGATTTTAGTGTCAGTACAAACAAAAATTCACTTTAATCACAAAATCGAAAGTTGATTAGACAGAAATGACGGAATTATAAATAGAATATTGACGCATGATGTCACTTGAGTTTGATTTTGACGTTTTCTTTGACAACTTTAAAGTACTTGTAGGTACACCATTGAGATAGAAAATATACCTATAGAGGCGCCGTGTTACTATAGAAGTATACATGCTTATACAAATATGAGGGAAATATGAAACAAACTATGAAATATCATTTTTTCTCACTCTTTCTAAGGCAATAATTGTATTAGACAAAAGGGACAACAATATTTAAGTTGTTGCTTAATATGGAAACAAATCATTTTGACATTAGCAAAGTTGTAGGTAAGTGCCATGTCCGCCATCTTAAGCGCTCAGAGTACCTGAGTTTCATGGTAGTTGTCCTGTCAAACGGTTGTTTATGTTTTAAATTATTGCGGTTTTTCAGTAAATTACAAAGAACCATTTTTTTAAACTTCAAATATATATAGTGAAACAAAAAACAATATGCCTGTGTGTTGTATTGTGCAGTGTGGTGCAAAAAAGAACGAAAATCAACCTCAATTGTCTTTGTATAGGTTAGTAAACAGTTTTCATCAAATATTACTTAGAATAATCCACATAGATAGAAAAAAATGTCACGGATACTTTAATCTATTGCCAAAGTATATATATTTACTTTTATTTCTGTCTGTGAGACAGTTTTAGTAAAAAATTTTTGTTTACAATAATATGTCAATATGGCATAGTTACGTACCATTTCACAAAAGTATCGATATAATCTCCCATTTAAAATTCAACATATACTAAATAATCTATTTTAACAATGGATGTTTCCGCAGTTTTGTTTAACGCTAAAGTAAGACGTCAGTATTTTGGTATAGTCGTGGTGGCCCGGAGGTTAAGGCGCCCGCTTCTCATGCATGAGGGTGCGGGTTCGAAACCTGGCAAGTACCAATGTGACTTTTTCCGAGTTATATGTACTTTCTATGATTGTTTAGACACCACTGACATACGGTGAAGGTAAACATCGTGAGGAAACCTGGACTTATAATTTCTAATTATAAGTTTGAAATAACCAACTCGCATTGAGCAAGCGTGGTGATTAATGCTCTAACCTTCTCCGTGTGAGAAGAGGTCTTTGCTCAGCAGTGGGCACTTATAGGCTGATGATGATGATGATGATGATGATTTTGGTATTGGTTTTAGTTACATAAGTAGAAGTTCAAATTATCATGTTTTATAATTATACGGGCGCGATTGACAGAGCGGCGTTGGCGACGATCCCAGTGCGACCACCAAGCGTAATAATAAAAAGTGAGATACATACTGTGACAGAAAACTCTTTGACATCATGACGTCAATGGATGGTTGTCAAACGTTGCCTAGAGATTGTAAATTTCGTCGTGAATTGTCAACACGAGTTGGTGTAATCGGTAAGGCGTGTGGATTACACCACAGAGACCCCGAGTTCGAGTCCCGCCGTAAACATGAAGTTTTTTAGTTGATGGAAGTTTTGTCGAACTTTCTGGAATATTTGAGTGAAAGTAATGAAAAATTAAGGAGCGAGAAGGAGAATAAATAAAAATGAATAACGAAATTATTGGAAGGTTCTGGAGGCATGACGATCAAAAAGAATAACGAAATTGAATGTTCTAGAACCTGACCAGGGGTATATAAGCGGAACTGCGGCTCACCGCTGGCAGTTGAGTTCTAAGTCTAAAGCGATTCGGAAGAAAAGGAAGAAGTGAGAAAGAAGAAAAGTGAGTGAAATAGTGAAGTGCAGTGCAGTCAGTTAAGTGAGTTAAGTCAGCGTGAACGGCAAAGTTGTGTCAGTCGGCCGGACTCTGCTGGAGAGGAACGCCGATAACTTAACTCCGTGGACGCTGTAACTTAAGTGCAATAGAAAGTCTGAAAACCGGTATTAGTGTTTCATTTCATCCAATCCCGTAACCCAAGCCCGCATAGTCAGGCACGTAACAATACAATAAGATTGACTTCACTACATATCTATTTTGTGCTAACGTAGTTTCGAAGATATCATCGTTTAATCAGACGCGCCGAAATTGTGCGCTAGCACTTCACAAATACCCACAGGTTTTCCACATATATAAAGATAAACATTTAACAAACACTATCTTTTTCTATTTCACCATTCCATTAAACGCTGTTCATAAACACAGTCCTATTTTTTTAAAAGACGCTTTACGTAGAATTATATGAATACAAATTCGACTTGAGAAAATCATTAGCCAATCAAGAGACCAAGTTAACCCCGGGTTCCGGGCTCTAGCTAGGCCGACGGCAAAGTAGGAACAGGAGTTGATTTTAGTCAGTAACGGTCTGTCCCGAAAAAGGCCGGAGATGACATTAGAAGATTTCCCATAAAAAATACCGTTAATCAACTGGCTAATCCCTAAAACTATACCTACGTAGAACTTTTACTCAAATTGTATCGATACTCGTTAAATACTTAGTCGGCACAACCCTAGCAACGGCAGCCATCTTATGCGACATTTTGGATTGTAGGTAGGCACCTTTTTTTCGTAGGTATTTCAAGTCCATATATTTCCTATGTCAATGAGGTACACCGAAACTTACAAAAAAGTATGTCGCGGAACCGTCCCGAAACTTGACTCGACTTGTATAATAAGTACGTCCCGGTAGGATGGTAGGATCTGGAACTCGAACCTGATACTTTTGTTTTCCTATATTTTTACTGTATGTAGGTACTCTATAACGTGAGTGATTGCATTGCTTGTATTTGATAGGATCCTAAATAATTAGAGGAGTGGTGTGGTCACTCAGTTTTTACTATTACTCTTTCATTAGGTGCGTCACTTCCCAAATATTTTAACCTAAATGAATACGCATTTGTATGCCTGTGACGGAATACAGCAAAATACATTATTGTAGTCACGGGGCATGGATTGATGAGAAACTTTAAGTAGGTACGGTACAAAACTGATTAAAACGTTACTTACTGAATATGATACCGACATGATCTAAGCTAGAAAGTAAAAGCAATCACAAAGACTTATGTTCTTATGATTATATTAATGGTTTACAGATGTATTTTTTATAGAATTTATTATATTTTATAAAATTTCGAATTTGTATAGGTATTATCAAAGAGCAAAAGTAAACAACAAATTATTATTCTTAATAAAATTATGATTCTCATTCACAGGAAATGTCAAAGTCAGACATGACATATGTCAAACAAGCAAAAAGTGCTGGAGGAGAATTATGAATTTGGTTGAACTTGTGTTTTTACATTTTTCAGCTCACGTGCGAATATTTTAAAAGTTTTATTTATTCTTGTAGAGTTTTCAAAATGCCATCTAAGCAAAGGAAAATTGCTATGATGGGATATCGCTCAGTGGGTAATGTTATCGTTTCAGTCTGCCTTGTGCGTCTTATTTAGTGTAATGTGACATTATAATAACAGAAAAACGTTTTCAGGTAAATCATCTTTAATTATACAGTTCGTAGAAGGCCAGTTTGTTGATTCCTATGATCCCACAATTGAAAACAGTAAGTGTTTTTTTTTGTAAATTGTTAGACAACTTTTTGTCTTGCTATGCTTTAACGTACATTCTTTGAGTATTGCGCCCCACATGTTGTACCTGTAATTGTATGTTTTGTAACTTTCAAATATAAAGAAGGTATTTACAAATGTTAATCCAATTGGAAAATGTATGTAATGCTTAAAATGCTTGAAGAGTATTTTGAACAATTATTTTTTTTATTGCAAGAAACGCAATTCATTTATCTTAAAGAGATAACATTTTTATTTAAAAGTCAAATGAAACTGAGCAGTTTTCTTTCTCTGTTCAGTGTAAAAAATACATCATGGTGTTACCTTGATCTAATGTCGAATATTAAGTGACTTAAACCAATTTATTTTATTCAGCATTTACCAAATTCATCCGTTTAAACTCAACTGAATATGAAGTGAAGCTGGTGGACACCGCCGGTCAAGATGAATTCAGTATATTTCCACTTCAGTACAGCATGGACTTTCATGGATATGTGTTAGTTTACTCCATCACTTCCAGTAAAAGTTTTCAAATAGTACAGATAATTTATGACAAACTGCTGGATATGGTTGGGAAAATACAGTGAGTAATAAAGATTTTCAATTAATTTACAAAAAAGTATGTTATGTTGCAATATTAATGATTTCATGTATTTATTATTTCCAGTGTACCAATTGTGTTAGTTGGTAATAAAACAGATCTTCACTTAGAAAGAAAAATCAGTACAGAGGAGGGCAAAAGACTAGCAGAGAAATGGAAGGCAGCATTTGTGGAGACTAGTGCTAAACGAAATGAGGTGAGATAAGCATGTGTTAACCTTATTTCACATTTAAACATTGGATATTATTGTTATGTTGTTTAATTAAAATTATTAAATATCTTAGTAATTTTTTTTTATAATTTTATTTGTGGTGTGGAACAATAATTTATTTAAATTCAAGAAATAACTATAATTAATTGATTTGAAAGAAGTTAATAAACAGTTGACATTGTCAAAAGAAATGTTGGGTTATTTACAATGTAATTGTTATTTAAATACAAACTTCTTATAATTTCAGTCTGTCACCGACATGTTCCATGCCATCTTATTAGAGATTGAACGATCAGATGGACATATACCAGACAAGAATGGGTGCGTAATTTCTTAATACAAGTTTATTTTTAATGAACAAAGTGCTTTTTACTTAAGTTAAAGTGATTTAAATGTAGTGTTTGTAAGTGCACAGCAAGCTAATTGTGGCAACCATTGCAATTTGGTAATATTATGATTCAAAGGTACTTCTGGATGCTTAGTTAATGTAAGCTTAGGACAAAAGAATGAGAGTAACTTCATTAGTAGTTTCAAAGTTTATAAATCTAATGTTGAGAGTATAGATCTTAGCAATAAGTTTCTGGAAGAATTGTATATTTTTGTGTGTGTGAAAACATTATCTTACCTCATGTTTATTGCATTAATGAATGTTTATTTACTTTATTATAGTTAATAATAACGGTACAAAAACGATAGAACATCTTGTATATAAATATATATACAATTTAGTGTATAATTTTATTTATTATTTTCACTTTTATACATATAATTTCAATTGAAGAGTTTTTCACACTATACATCCAGTTTCTATTAATTTATAATCCACCAATAAAATGTTTTGAGTATTTATATAAAAATAGAAAATTCCAATGTTAACAATATCAAAGAATTTATTTGTAATTAAATGTTAATTTCTTTTAAATATAAATAATAACTTACAAATTGTTTTTAAAAACGTCATTGTTTGTGAATAGCAATGTTGATACTAAACTTGTATAAAAACCAAAGGTTCCTTATTGTGTTTTCGTTTTGAAATAATTCTTGATAAGTTGGTTATTTGTAAAAACATTCAAATATCTATAAATATGTAGTCATATACTTTTATGTTTTATTGTTAGGTTACAAAGTTTTGAAGTACATCAAATTATGCATTATTATATTGTAAAAAGTATGTTGTGTTCATATAAGACAATTGTTAAGAATGTATCAAAGGCTTAAGAAATTCTTTTTAAATGAATGACAGTAAGTAATTTGTAGCTGAGTGTAAAATGTCAATCTCTGACTGCCATGGATAGGTCAGATTCAGTAGAACTCACTGAATACGCCACAGGCAAGTTTGCAGACATCCTCGTTCTCCATTAGTCTATACTCCCTGCTTCTAGTGTCTGGTGTTGCTCCCGTTGATTCTTGACATAAATATTTGTTTAGTGAGAATAGGCATTTCACATTGTGTTCAAAATATAGTTTGTAAATTCCTTTAGGTGAGAATCTTGTCTGCATGATTGTACTTTGCTTGAACTTTTTATCCTCAATTCAACCCTTGTACGTAAATCCATAATATTAGACGCGTGCATCAGTCTTCACTAAATCTCACTGGCTCAAAGCTCTCTGGTGTAAAGCATATCATTTTAATATTTCAAAATAGCAATTCTCTACAAAAAGTATATTTTTAATTTTAAAAGCTTTTAACTTGCACGCTTGTTTATGATAAATACCTATAATTTGGCAATGAATGACTATGTGATCTGTATTAGAATATTTTCATAAAAAGTACCTATGTCTACAATGGAGTTATTTCTGTACTGTGTTTTTTTTAGTATTCAAATGTTTACACCCAATAATCGTATTTGACAGTTACCTTTTCGAGAAGAATTGAATTTGAAATCATAGTAACAGTATATATGTAGACGGTATCGGCGCTTGTCTGGAACAGCGTTACGGGTGACTGTCGTAACATGTGAGGTAAAAACACTGAAACTTTACTTAGTTTTCATCAACTTATCTCTTCCTGTAAATTATATACCTAATTCGAATTTATATTAACAATTTGGGTAGTAAAAGGTTCATAACGCTATGAGGTAGGTTTTATGATACATATTGAGGAATAATAAGAAATAAATCACTGCTGCAACAGTCTGCCCTTTCGCTATAGTCTTATAAATTACTAGTCAGTTTTTTTTTTACAGATTTCATTATAGCTAGAGGCTTCTTAGAGAAGGTTGCGAAGAGCGGAATGCTAGTAGTGTGTACTAGATGTTAGTCACATTTTAACAAAATAAGATTTAAAGTGACATAGACTTCTATTTTCGATGCACAATAATAGACGTACCCTTTTGTAAAACATTCTAATATTAGTCGTATGGATAATGTTGCGAGCAACATTGAAGAATGTAAAACAATTGTGAGCAAATGTAGCGTAATTTTTGCAAGGTATGTTAGGGAAGGTAATTGTGCCTTAGTTAAAACCAATTATCAAGTACTATAACTAAGACACGATGGTAGCGCGACTAAAACTACAGGAGCTACTTATTAGGTAGAAATATTGACTTTACGAATGGATGACAACACGAGATTGACCTTTAAGAACTTTCTTTACAATTTTAGAACCACTCAATCTAGAATTTTATAATAACTATCGTGAGACATACTAAATTAACTAAAATTCGCGGGTTACTCACGTGTACATGTTGAGAAAAGCTCTACTAGTTTCGAACCACAGAGGGGTTCTTCCTCATGAGCAGCGTGCGCGGACGCGGCGACGTCGCGCAGCCTACGAGTAGGCTCCGCGCCGCGCAGCTTTTCTCAACATGTACACGTGAGTAACCCGCGAATTTTAGTTAACTCAATCTAGATATTGTTTGGGTACTATAATTCAATAGTTCTATCGGAGACTTTAGGTAATCCAGAGCAACGAAAAATGTTGAGTTCTTCAATAAAGTATAAAAAATAACATACACAGTCACTTCATCAACTTTTATAAACGACATTGTGGGAATCTTTTAGGTAACATATATTACATACTTAACTGTTACTAGAGTTGCTCTACACTGTAAATAAGTAGGTACCTACTTGATGGTAAATATCTGCAACCATTTGTTTAATCTGTAAATTTGTGTGACCGAATACTACCCGATCATGTTTGTGAACGAAAACAAAAAGTGGTGTATATGGAAATGTTTGTCCTTAATTGAGTCAACCATAAAAGTTAATTTTATTTGTTTGTACTAAAGAGTGAAATCTTGATATATTATAATTTTGTAATTATTATATTAACGGTGTTACAGTGGTAATATTTGTATATAAAAAGACACTACATATTATTTAATAGTGGCCCCAATATCTGTTGATTTAGACAAAGTGCAGTAAATAAGGAACTGTAAGTACTAGTATAAATTTTGTCTAATTTGAACAGATAGTTGATGCAGTTAGCAGTTTGTAATAAATGTATATATAAATATTTTTTAGGTTTCAGTAGCCACGATAATGGCGTCTCACTTGATAGGTAACACAAATGAGTTGGAAATGGGACTTGAGTTCTACTCTATTCTTTTCTAAAGGAGGTATAATGCAGTTTTTGTTGACGAAAGATCAGCTTTATTTAGGTGCATAATGTTACTATATCAGATCACGCTTTGATAAATAACTTACAAACACTTACTGAAGCCTGAAATATACTGAAACAAGGGAAGCATATCCATTATGTTAAAAAAAATCATGTCAAAGGCTACGATCATAAGTTTTGTATAAATTAAATTAGGCTTTTGTCATACGTCGGTATCGAGTGTAAATTTTAAGTCTGTAAGTTTTATGTTTATAAATTTCCAAATGCAGTTATTTGTATGTGTGTATGTATGTGTATGCGTAAGTTTTTATACAAATCTGTCTCAAGAAGAATTAAACTAACACTTATTGAAGAAAAAACGACCCAAAATCCTCCAATCTTTAAGATATGTTTGCATATACTTAGGAATTATAGAGTCAATGCGTTTAGTCTTATTGTTGATTTTTGACCTACTATAATTGTTGATTGAAATATAATTTATCCCTTTGAATGTCGGTATATAAAACACAATAGAAAATACATTGTGTCTCGCGTGAATTTACGTCTAAAACACACGAAAGATGTGTGGTAGAGCCATGCTTCGGCACAAATGGATCGCGCCGACTCTAGTGGTGGTGGCCTCCGAGAATACCGGCGGCATATTGTATTCTGTCGTGTGAGTGAGTTTACTGGAGGCACAATCCACCCACCATCTCCCAATGCTCTAATCTTTTACCCTCAAAAGACTGGCAACCCACTTGTAACTCCTCTAAAGTTGCGGGAGTTACCCTTCTGTCTGCTCGTTCACAGCCCATAGTGTCATTATATATTTAAAAAAGAAAAAGTTGAACATCAGATTGGAGTAGATTGACTTCCATTGGTTGTCTGTAGTCTGTACATACCTACAACTTTACGTACTGGTGGACAATGAGGACTTAATCATTATTTAGATTTTTATTGCTATGGCATAGGTATGTTCCCTGGGCGGGAATAGTCATTTGATGACTTTCCCCTCTCAAAAAAAAGAAATAAAAAATGGCATATGTGATATAGAGTGTCAGACTCCTACACCCTTATTACAAAACAAGGTTTATCTTTAGTCCAGGTTTAAACCATTGAGTCGGGTTTTGAATTTTGAATCTAATTGTCATCTACCTTCAATTCGAAATTCAAAAACTGGCTCAATGGTTTAGTCCTAGACTAAAGTAAAACCTTGTTTTGTAATAAGGCCGTTACTGATTACCCCCCCCCCCCGTTCCTTCTCCTCCTCTGGACCCTTACTCGTCGTCCTCAGACCCGCACTTACGGTGGCCGGAGATCATGTCTCGATCCCGGACGCCCGGAAAATTAGAAGGTACTATCTAATTTTAATATTTGTTTATTGACAACAACTGTCTTTGTAATTGGCCTAATGTCAGTGTCCACCAGTGTATTTTATTTTAAATATTTTTTCCTTTATTAGGTATGTCCTATATCATAAGAAATTGATTAATAATTTTAGTAACAAATCATTGAAGTATAATAATATTGATTGCTTGTGTTTACAAATTTTAGGTCGTTAGCGAATTTTTCTACTTACGCAAAATACATTGCCCATTGCATAGCAGAGCTATGTAGTATAATTTTAGTTAATAAAGCTTAGTGATTTAGCTATTCACAAATGTGCAAAAATGTATTTGTGGCGTCATATTACATGTACCTATTTGTAAATAACTACAATATAAAATAAACAACTGCCACAACAGAATTTGTTTTATTGAAACGTTATACGTGTACAAAGTTTTCCCAGATTTTTTTTTTGGTGTCGGATTGGCATATCCTCATGGAGACCCTCCGCACTCGGGGAAGGGCGAAGGGTACTGTCAGTCTCTTACTGACTAAAAACCAACCCGGTGTTCCTCCAATTACCCATGTGTCGGAGGGACGGGTATCACCGAAGCATTCGTCGCAAGCTCCCGACGGGTATTGGCCCGCTAGATGGTTAGGCGGGCCTCGTCACCCACTGCGGCCGTCACCCCGACCGCTGGACTCCACTATGAGGCGCGCGCGGAACACGGCGCCGCCGCCTCTAGGCCTGCTGCTGGTCGGACGACTAGACGAAAGTTATCCCCATTAAAGTGTGATCGTTTAGCTACACCAAGCACAATTCCAGACAGAATCGTTTATAAGTAGTAGTTGCATAGACCAATATATATTTTGAATACTAGAGTAGGTACTTGATTATTCAACACGATAGTTTACGTAACAAATAACAAAAATATTGGGTAGGCACATAATCTATCCCAAAGAGAAATACCATATTGAATGTTATGAAACAATTTTATTCCTCAGAAAGCGGCTGCAGCCATTGATCTCGGTTAAAACAGTATAAAGAACCTAAACCTAAAAACCACATCTAAGAGAGCTGTCTTTATAAAGGTACGGTAAGTATTTTATAAGCTAAACCCCGCAGAATCGTTGTAAGGACTTGACTATGGGTGTGGCACCTAGTATAAGTAGAACGCAATAATAAATTATAATAGTTCTAAGTAAAATTCATTTGCTGCCAAATTTGGTTATACATCGCCGAATTATTTTTATTAGCATGCACCAAGCCGTGATTAGTATTTCAGAACGTTATTTGCGACTTCGTGTGAATTTTCTAAACGATTGGCTTGGGTAAATGTCATTTTGACAGTAAATTGTCAACAAATTATTGTGAAAATGGCGACTACCGGAGTAGGATTTCGATGGTTAGATTTATTAGAAAAGGAATTCGACAAAGCATGTGTCGAGTTAGACACCTCTTTAAGTAAGTAAGACTTGTTCATATATGTTATAATTACTTAAGTTTTTTCACGTGCTTTAAATTAGTAATATTTGAAGTGTGTTTAAAGCTACTATTATTTTGCTGAATTTCGCAAAATCTTTCTATTTTATATCAATAAAACCGCTTATGTGAAAAGTTAATGCTAATTTAAAACGTAAAACAAATGTTTTTCTCAATAATCATGTATAGACACTCCAAAACTTAGTGCACTTGAATCGAATTCGTGTCGTTGATAAGGTTTTTGTCTGAGTACATTTATGTTATTGTTCACACTAAGACGTTCACGTAAAAATAACAATATCTAAATGGGATTTATTCTGAAACTCCTTTACTTGCAAATTAGATATTGTTTCATAAATTAAACTAATATTTAACTTAGTGCAAACATCAAACAGTTTTCCTATAAGATTCTTGATTGATTTTGTATTCTCAACCATTTTCCCAGTATTGATTGAAGTAAATAAATTATGTCATTTAAAAAACAATGGCCATTTTTTTGTTTATTCAATCACAGAAAATGAACCATTTGCTTTTAATGTAAGAAGATATTTACCAAATCAATGAGAAAATCTTTATACCAATTCTTTCTGTGATGTGGAAAACAAATTATACTTTTTAGTTTACAAAATAAATATGAAAAAAATACAGAATTGTTTTTTTTTAAATATTATTTCCAAATTACAGCAGAGTTGGAGACAGAAGAGCCAGAGGTGGTGTTTGTGTCGCGTCAAAAGATTGCCACACTCAGCTCATGTTTTGCACAACTCACACACAAGGCGCTTACAATATTTCAAAACAGTGCCAAAATAGAGGTATGTTTACATCACTCAGAAAATGACTGTACTCTTTTTACACAATTTTACAGTATTTAAATAGGAATCTAGTTTTTAATTGTGACAATAGTCAATTGACAATTATCATACCTGCATTTGCATACAATAATAACATGGAATCTGGGCTGGAAAACCTGTATATGCAGTATATGTGCATAGCCGTTACAACAAACCAATTGAAGTATTATGGGCAGTCTAGCTGAATTTATGCTGTAGGTAGTTGATTTCTAAAATTACAAAAAGAATGTTGCTACACACTAGGATTTTCTCCTGTATATGGGTGCTTTTACAAACATACAATTTCACATCACACCCAGACCGAAAACAAGTTAGTTCTTACTCATGCATCAGATATACCTCCATTTGAGACTTGTATATATCTAATTGGCTATCTTACAACCAGTAACTTCTATACTTTTTTTAATTGACAAAATTCATATTTTATGAGAATTTAGTAAAGAGTTTATGTTGTGATATTATGTTTTAATAGATCAAATAACATACGGGGTTTTTGAAAATCAGCTGCATAAATACATATTTTCATTATACAGTAACTTATGAATGGAGGTGTGATTATTTTTATTATTTTATTGCATTGAAAAGTTGATAATTTGTGTTTAATAAACTAAAAATCAAGTACCTCATTAGTTAATGAAATTCAGTAAGTTAAGTAACATATAAAAGTGTGTAGGATTTAAAATAAGCAAGGTTGGTATAATTATTTGTAATGTTTATCTATACTAACTTTTCTATACCAATTTTATCTAGACTAATTTTGCCTTATGTAATTTTATGAATAACCACATTTTATTCAAGTGTTTATTCAGCTGTTTTATTCTTAAGTAGTTACTCAAATAAAATATAATCTAAACTAAACATATCTACTAGTGTAACAAAATTGAAATGAGTAATTACTTGCCCAATAATTTTAATTAACATTTTATTAATTCAATTCAGGTAGTAGTTGTCTCCTTTAAGGCATAATTTATTAAGAAGCCTTTAAAATAATTTGAAGCCTTATTAAGAAGGAGCATAATTAAATATTTAACAAATTAAATATGAGCATTTATTATGAAGGAGAATAATATAATAATTAAAAAAATAAAAAATAGTTTAAATTTTATTTATTATTCTAGATAGTCTCCTAACAAGTTGTTTCATTTAGTCAAAAGGTTCTCCAAACCAAAAATAGCCTTTAAAAAAACTCCTTTGGCTAACCGAAATTATTATTTATTATTACTTTTAAAATATTTGCCCCTGAAGTGTTTCTTGAGCCAAGGAAACAAATAAAAGTCGCTAAAGGCTAAATCTGGAGAAAAGGGTGGTTTTTCGACCATTTCGAAGCCTGCTTTACGAATGGCAGCCATTGCTACTTCGACTTTGAGTACCGGAGCGTTGTCTTGATGAAACAGGACTTTCGATCGGAGTTTGCCTTGTCTTTTTTACTTTATGACTTCTCGCAGTCGTCTTATTTGATGAGCATAGTAGGAGCCAGTTATAGGCCTCACTTTTTGAAGTAATCAACCATTATGATTCCCTCAGCATTAAATAAATGGACGCCGTAACCTTGCTCGCCCTGCTCAAGACTTTCAACTTCTTCGCATTGTGAGGATTGACCCTTTCAACTCATCGATTGCTATTTGGTCTCGGGATTAAATTGATGGATCTATGTTTTGCCCATGGTCGCAAATCGACACAAAATCTTTTTCTTCGTCAGCCTGGCACTCTTGAAATGTCAACTCGCTTTTTCTTTTGTTATTTCGTTAACATTATCGGTACCCTGTACGCGAAGGCCTTCTTCATATTCATTTAGCTGGTCAAAATGCTTTGGATGCTACCATATGAGATCCTTGTGACCTCTGCCAATTGTCTGATGGTTACTTTTCGGTCTGCTAATACGATATCTTCGATTTTTTTGACGTTTTCCTCAGTGCGGGACGAGGTTGGGCGTTTCTCGCGATGTTCATCTTCTGTGGATGTTCCATTCAGCTTAAACTCTTTGCATCACTGTACCACCGTAGAATATGGAGGAGCAGAGTCCCCGTGTGTGTCCACCAAAATCAATGTCTTGGTAGAATTTTTCAAACAGGGGCACAACTGCTCGTTTCACTTCGTGTTTCTCCACTTTGGTGTCGTCGCTCCAACTGCAGCTATTCAAACGAATGCAGCTCCTCAAAATGACGCCCTATTTGAACATTTTTTTACCGAAGAACTAGAAAAGATATTTTTTGGTTTTGTACCTTTATTACAAATACCTTTTTGTCGTTACTTTTTGATCACCCTTTGTATGTAAATGGTGTATGGAATTAGCACTTCCTTTTCATCAGTTATGTTACAGTCTCATTTCATGGGGGTTGCTATTGCCACATCAGCCATACCAGGATCCTGGCAAATTAATACTTACCTCCTAACTAAGCTGACATTATTTTAAAGTCGTTTTTGGAAGCGGTTTCACTCACTGTTCGGCTTCTGTTGGTTGTAGTGTGATATTATACACATACATACATGAAAATTATTGTTTAATTCAAACCGGTAGTTCCTCAGATCAGCGCGTTCACGTTCAAGCAAACAATATTTTCAGCTTCATAATATGAATATATGTAGATTATTATTTTAAATGAAACAGTGATATTTTGTTATGGTATTTATATTACAAACTTAAACGACAACTTTGGTCAGTTGATATTAGGACCGCGATCGTAGGGATGTTTGTGCAGATGTCTTCGGTGCGGTGGACGCGTGGTTGTGGTCGCCATCCTCTCAGACGCTCCACCACTCAGGATGTCCTTATCAATGCCCATGATATCGCCTCCCCCGCCGTCGTCAAAGTAACCTGTGTCGTCGTCCTCCCAATCGAATTCTTCTGATTCTTCATTGCTGAAATACATCATAAGGGATTTTTAATAATGTTCTATGTAAAGCATACTAGTTTAGTCAGCAGATGTTAACATTATTGAATGTCTTTCTTATGCCAATGATAGTGTCTTAATGAAATAGTATGGTAGAAAGAACTCTTCAGCTATGAGGGCTGTTTACCACTAGACGGCTCGTAAACTAGTTAATTGTTACTATTTATTTTCGGAGGGCAAAAGGCCCTAACACTTTGCTCTGCACATAGATTCCTGCAGTTATTCTGTGCAATAGGCGTCATATTCATCCCGCCATGTAGTTCTTGGTTGGCCGCGACTGTTGACCTTGAGTGGCTCCGCTCAGTGGTAAGTCTGATCAGCGAAAGTGATTTGAGTCATGGAGGGTAATGTGATGTTTTAATGGCTCGCAGGCTATCCTTCAGTCCGCGCTCCTGTAGCAGTAAAAAAACCACTTACTTAATTCCTTCCAATTTTTCCAACAGTCTGTCAGCAGCCGCTGTGACTTCTGATGTTGGTTCATCTTTTAAGTGAGCTTCCAAGCGCTGCAACGCGGCATCTGCTCGGTCGGTCAGTGATACAAACTTCTCAGTCAATTGTCGCAGCTCATTTTCTTTTAAGATCGTGTGAGATGTATTACGGAAAGCTACTTCTAAACGTCTACAAGTAGCATCCGTCTGCAATAAAAAGAAGTACGTGAACAACCGTGAACCTTGTCTAAATATTTATTTAGAGAACAATAAATATTTCCAAATTAAATTCATAATATACCTGAGGTATGCGTGTCGCATTTAGGATTTTAACCACTCTGCTGTCGTATTTATTTATGTCATTTTGAATCTTTTTAAGCTCATGGAATGTTGAAGATGTTCTGAAAAAAAGTCAATTCAATTACTAAAAAACGCAAACTAAATTAAAGTTGTTTGTTTATTAAAATTAAATTAAACCGACTGTTACAGTTGTTTTTCTGCACCCTTTTAATAAATTTATGTAATAAAAAATATATCTAGGAGGGATAATAAATTCCCTGTTACATACAATTTCTTATTGTCTGTTTTTCTGGTCAAGTATATGTGTAGAATCGTGTTTCGTAATCACCGTTTACATAAATCTGTTAGTTTGATGAGTAGAGCCTGAAGAATATTCATGATATACATACACGCCAATCAACGAGTCGATTAGTTTCTCCAACACGTCCGTCACAGACTTTGGACCGTCTTGCTGTACCTGCTGACACGAATCCACGAAACGTTTCTGTGCATCTATAAGTTCTTGCATCTAAAAAAGAAACGTTAACATTAAAAACTGGATTTGTTAAAAAGTCCATAACCTTGTGTTTTAAGATCAATCACTAGAATATCGGTCAAGGATGGATTGTATTTGTTCTTTTTTCTTCAAAGCCTTATGCAAATTAAGTGATGCGGAGCTTGAAATACCTTCAAATCAATCCTATAAGAGTTGTCGCTAAGGCGCTTAGTGATGATAGTTTCTAAATCCGCAGTGTTGATCCTAGAATCACGTTGTCGCCTGGCTAAAGCACGAAGCCCGTCAGCAAGTTCCCTCCTCGTTACGTTTACAAGAGAGAGTCCATCTCTCATCAACGACTCAAGCATCAAACTACGGTGCCATGTATCTGCGTAGGCGCCGTTAACCTGGGATTGTATTTAGAATCTATTAGAAAGTCTATAAAATAAAAAATGACATTTGTAATAATCCAACCATTTTAAAAGTTCGTTGGATGAATGGATTAAGCTGATTATTGTTTTCAAATTGAAGCGAGGCGTAGATTTATTAGAAAAGAAAAAAATGAAACAAATTATGAAAATAAACTATGAAAATCGGCAGCTCAAATGGTGGAGAAAATAATAATTAGACAACAAATCAACAATTGAATAAAGAGTCTACTGCATTCGTAACACATGTGGGTATTCTGTATTTTCATTATTTACATTTGGGGATTTCTGAAGCGAATATATATTACTAGACGACCTGGCGGATTCCGTACCGTCTTAAATATATAGCTATTTGTTTTTGCCTTTTAAAACCTCCCTTCCACGAATAATTCAAAACCAAATTTAGCCAAATCGAGCCAATGAGTTATAACATTACAACGAAAAGTGGCATTGAATTTTATTTATATAGATAACAATAGCAATAGCAATAGCTACAGCCAAATATAGCTCATGTTATTTTATAATAAGATTATTGTTCTGGTGGAAGAGAGATATTAAAATTACTAGTACTCTTTTTTAAACATACCTTTTCTAATAAATGTTTGTGGCTTATTATATGGCTAGTTAAATTCCGAGCTATTTCGCCGATTTTCGCCTGACTGCGTTCAAGCTTTTCACTGCTTTCCTTGATTGACGCCTGGAATTAGAAAATAGACAAAATAATGCGCATTCTCTTAATATATTAACAGAACAGAATGTCGACGTAAAATAAAACCAACCTGGATATTAGTTTGCAGCATATGCAGCCTATGCTCAAGTCTTTCAGCTGTTAATTGAGCTCTTTCTAATTTTAAAGTCAGTGTATTTTCTACCCGCTCTGAAAGCAAATACATGAATATTAGCGGTATCCTATTCAGCATGCGTACTACGTTCATTTGCTAATTTATTCATACCATTGCAGCCCAAAGCGGTTCCTTTAGTAGTTAATTGTACGTTGCTCTTGTTCATTCAATTGCGAGGGATACACGCCAGCAGATATTGCAAAAGCTGACCCATAGTAAAATAGGATATGACACAATAAGACTGCCGTACGTGACGATTCATTAGTTTCCCGGAACAAATTTAACTTTGTATTGTGGTGATATGAACTCGCTCTAGTTCTTGTGCTGGCTATAGACCAACACATTTTGAGTAACAATGTCTTTTATTTTTCAAGTAACCATTACTTCATACGTATTTACAGAGTTTCTTTAGATCGTTGCTGAAGCTATAGCATGGTATGACAATTGCAATCTGTGATTGCAATATACACGGACAGTTATTTTATTCCCTTATCGCAATTTATTTTGGCGATTATTTAGGCACACATTATTATACTTATTTTAAAATACTCACCCAATTTATCCTGAATGATATCCAGCCTCCTCGCTTGTTTTGCCTGAACGGCACTTACTGTGTCTAATATTCGAAGTCTTTCTTCTATGCTTGATAGAATACTAGAGATATCCTGCAATGAAACATCAACCTTTATAATATAATCTTATAAGCTACCGGTATTATTGTTCCTGGTTAACATTACCAAAATAAATGCTAAGCTTGTAATAGGTACGTATTTATTTATAAACTAGTTTATCGAAAGTAATCTACGAGAACATCATGATATTTCCGGCACTCTTCACCATACGTTTTGATGTCTGTCGGAGAACATATTATTATAATAGTAAAATGTGTGTCTCGTTTTTATTTGGTGATTTATGAAATGTGACCTGCTTTGAAAAGGTCTCGGATTAACTTTATATCATTGCATTTCTCCAAGAGAATTTTAATCTCAGAGTTCGCTTAAAATTTGACAGAAAAATTTCTCTTCATCTGTTCTTATTTTAGTTTGATTTGTCTTCTGACAGACTTGAATCAGATCTACTGATTATAACCAATTTATCCTGCTATTTTGTTTTAGTTCATGGCATGCATATTGGTCTACTTTGGTTTGTTTTGGATTTTAAGACATACACATCCCTGGTCGTTTGGGAGAGAGAGAGTTGCTTCCATTCTGAGACTTCCAAATCATGTAGTAATCTGTGTCGATTATTGTCAGTCCTCATAATTCTGAAATATTTTAAGTATTATGTAATTTTTATTAGATATATTTCTGAATAGTAAATCTTGTAGCCGTTAAGTTTAGCGTGTCAAGTATCTTACTCAATGTCCATTGATTGGCTACTCATGCTTATTATTGCCCAAGCCAAACAAGTTTGAAATTCATTCAATTTCGTTTTCAAGTAACTTATTGACACTAGTAATTTATCGGTTCGACACACGAGACAAGCAGTAAACTAACCTCAAGATTTTCTAGTTTAAAGTGTAGCTATTGGTAACATTTGGTGCCTGTTAATTTGTATGAATCTTTTTTGAGAGTGATATAGAGTAATAATAACTACACTTGTGTGTTTCGAAAATGCTGAAGAATACAAAGATTCCAAGGCAGTTTTCATAAGTTTTTTCAATGTTATGGCTGTAATAAAATGTGCGTGTGAGGTACTTATCTTGTGTCGTAACCGTTGAAGCTCCACTATAAGCCTTTTATTCGACGGCAGTGCAGTATTTACAGGGTTGTATTTACCTTGGGGTTCTGTGTGGTTAGCGCTTGCAAGCTGTGCTCGGCGGGCGAAGCGCGCGCCATGCAGAGGCACGCCAGCGCCGCCACTGCCGCTCTTAACATCGCCCCGTCTGTGGAGCACAATGGTCGTGGTTGTCTTTGTCAATATTTAAGGAACAACAGGGACTTGACGACACCGTTAATGAAAAATATAGTCACGGAACATGGCGATCCGTTTTGAATGCCAGATTTTATTTGACAACCACCTAGCATGCTCTATTTACCGTGTTTATTTACTGATAACAAAACTAATTCTGTTGCAGTTTTTAGTATCACTTCTATTTGATTTAGTTTTGATCGTAATATGGATGAAAATACCTATATGTTTCTAAAAAAACGTACCTACCTGTATCAGCCACAACAGCAGCCAGATGCGACTTTTCTTATGATCGTAAAAGCGCTGTCATTTAGGAATCTTTGAATTGATAGGAATTAAGGAAGTCAATTTAACGACGCTTTTATAAACGTGCTGCTTTTTGAATTCTGAAATGTGACCCATGGAAGCGTCCTATATATACCATTTTAATTCTACATGGTAGTGAAATAAGATACTTGTGTTGACTGTTTTGATGAGACTACGTAGTACAAAAGAGTATAATAAGTATGTTTTATTCATAACATAAATATTTTATACAATTACTATCAGAAGACTAGGAGTTTTAATTATTATATCTCTAGATCAGAATATATAAACGACTAGCTTTGCTGCGACTTCGTTCGATTTTTGGTATAAAAACTATCCTATGTCTTTTCTCGAGTTCCAAACTATGTCTGTACCAAATTACACTGAAATTGGTTCAGTAGTTTTGGCGTGAAGAATAGACAAACATACAGACAGAGTTAATTTCGGATTTATAATATTACTTTGGATAATAATATCCAAAAAGGCTTTCTTAAATCATATAGTCTCGCTAATCTATCGACTGATTTTGAAATATTATTATGTGATTATGTTTCATTAATATACAGCCCAAAATAAAATGGGCTGAATCAATAAGCCTACGAGTGGGCGGTTTTTAGTTTTGAAACTTCTATTGTGACAATTGTTGCGTAAATGTTAAACGAAAACTTTCGACACGGTTTAGATGCGAAAATAAAAATACAATAATGTTATTTACGATGTTACACCTCCTTAGCGTGTCTTGTTGAGGTACCGCCGTAAACAGCATCGTGGACGTTTTGAATGAAAATGGTCTGTAATGCTAAACAAACAGCGCGGCACTAGCGTGGCGGGGTCATTGATATCAGTGAGCGGTTCTTATAACCATGCGACTCCGCTAAAGTAATTTCCTAAAGGTACGCTTATTTACCTTTTAACCACATACACCGATTAAACCCCGAGTACTGTGATTGCTTTAAAACTTCCATCGAAGACCTCTATTATCCTTTAATTGGACTCAGGACGTTATTGCTGTGAAGTAATTATTGTCTTCATATCCAACTTAATCGAGGAATAATAAAGTACAGTAACTTATAGACAGGTATCCACTGGTGCTGTACATTTTATTACTCTCATACAGACGTTAATTATTACTTAATTATGTCTGCTTTTGGTAGAAAAAAAACATAAGTTCTGTTTACTACTAATCATTGGTATCCAGGTTTTAAAAGCTGTAATTGTTGATTTATAAAGTTTAACCCTTGCAGTAATTTTTGATATAAGGCTTTTTATAACTATACCGAAGACACATAAAAATAGTGATCACCGTCTTACGCTGACGCTGATTAAGTGCAGTCATAACATTACTCTAAAAATACCTATTAACAGAGCTTCAACAAGTTCACATCATTGAGTCATATCTCCGGTTTAGACATGCGCGGGCGCTAAGCAAAGCCATAATGCGCTGGACACAAATATGGAACAAAATATTCTTATATTTGTGTCACAATTAGACAGACTCCACTAAGTGAAGTGATGATCACTAGTGTCTACAAAAAATTAGTTTCCTTTACGATTTCCCCCGAACATTTTTAGAAAACGTAAATAATAGAACACTAATTAAAACTTTATTTGTTTCAAATTCAAAGAAATCAATCAAAAGAGGATAGATAGAGGATAATACTCGTAGTGTATGATTTTGATTAACCTCTAATGCCCGGTTTCTGAAGGCGTCGGTTATGTTTAAAATAGTTGTTGGTTCAATAAAGTTATCAATAAGATAAACGTCGGTTAACTGTCACTGCGTTTCTGAATACGCAACGAGCCGTTCAATAACTATGTAAAGGATAGTAAGTTCCTTAATTTGCAAATAGATGGCTCTTTTAAGGATAACAACTAAAATTTGATTTTATTTATTCTATTTCAGCTTTATTACGTGTTTATTAGGTACCTAAATAATTTCTTTTCAAAGTTTTAAGTTATCAAAAACTGTTTCATTTAAAATATAATGATAATTTGTTATTTAGCATTGGCTGTATTGAACACCGTCTCAGTGTCAATTAGAAAAAAAAAGAAACGTCAAACAGACATTGTTGTCGGTTGCTTGGGAAAACGAAAACGATATCTTAAAGTAATCTCTTCATCAGTAAACATTTCTAAAGGATTTCTCCTTTGTCTTAAGTTTCTGAGTACAGAAATACAAGAAATAAACTCTAGCACTTCCATATCGGACTCAGATGAACTGCTTGTATTTAATATGCTCCTATTCATTGCTCTTCCATAATTAGCAGCTAAAGCAACTTTTATTTATTGAATTTTGAAATTTACCACAAAAATTGTATAGTTTGACATTCGAAACGTCAAATAAAGTTATGGAACTGATAAACGGCACCAAATGGCGAGTTAAGATAGCTTTAGTTTAAACGGAGTTTAACTAACAATGCAATGCTCAGAAACGTACTTGTAAGAGTTATCGAACCAATAGCGCTATCGAATCGATAAACTGCCGTTAACTGTACCTCAGAAACCGGGCATAAGCCTTATAAATATGACGAATGAATTATGGCGTCATTTCGTTACTAATAAACGTACAGTCAAGTTCTGTATTTTTCATTGTTAGAATGTCGAAAATAAAACCAATTTTTTTTTGAAAACCGCCTCAAAATTCCTTTTAAATCTAAGTGAGAAAACACAAGGGTTAAGTACACATTGTTACATTAAATGCGTATTCAAGCTATGTCCTAATGTGTTGTTGTGACAAGTGAATAACTAAACAATTTTTATTGATGTTTTGTCTCAGAACCAAGTGGTGTCTCTTTATTTATCTGTGTGTAGGTAATAAATATAGATGACGGTCTTTATAGAGAAACCCGGTATACCTATACTGTGAAATAAGTATTTAAACTTTTTGCACGAGTGAAGTACATTCCAACATGCCTGTTTATAATATCATTAATGGAGATGTATTAAACATTAGCAAGTGTTCCTTTCATGCTGATGGCAGTATAATGTTAGATCCGTGCTACCGTAGGTCGCGGCATGACGTGCATTGTTTATTTGTCTGATCAGCGACAGGTGTACGGGCCCGTCCTGTTCATGTGCATCTATTTATTTGCATACCGGTATAGTTCGTGGACCCCGGCCTGTCGGATTATCATTGTCTAGCTACGCCTACACGACTAAGGTCAGCCTTTCATCAGATTTAGCTCTCCTCCTGTTTAACGTGTACCACGTGCTTATGCAACTATAATACGTACGTTGTTAAGTTTATGTTAGTCTTTGTGTCATATGAAAAGGTTTCTTATGAACCCATCAAATCACTATAATTATTTTATCCCATGCCTTTCTTCAAATGTGATAATTAAATATCACTGCCGTTATAGTGTCAGAGAACGTTTAACTTGGGTTGCTGTTGCGACTAGTTTTCACATAGTCACGCCAGTTCCGGTGATCGCCCAAATTCGTCGCGGTCTGATATAGTTAAGGTGCCTACAAAGGAAGTAGATCAGTGTAGTTCTTAATTGACTTTCGATCAGATGTCGAAGCAATCGCATCTAACGGCAATCATTATTTACTAGCGCATCGAGTGTTTCATACTGACGTGATCAATGACAGCTAAATCATGATGGAGTGAATGACGACACACCAATTTCTTCTAATGAACCTTTATGAAAGGGCGTCCCGCATGATTAAATATCGATAAAGAAAGCACACGCACCCGAAGTGAACACAATACTTGTTGAGCATGTCACGACAACTCGGAAAGAAATATTACTGTATGTATGAGATCAATTGACGAAACCCCGTCATTATATTTTTGTTCCTGTTACATACCTGGAGGCAATCGAAATTCAGAAAGGGAAAAGGAATGCACGTTGAGTGCGTCGACCTCGCAGTACTTGAAATCATGCGACCCGAGAATGCAGAAATGCAAAGAAAATTATTTTATCTAACTAATTATGATTTATTGGAATAATTCTGCTGAGAAGCAGAATTGTCAGACTTGTGAATGAAATTCCCTGAAATATTCAGTTGAACAATTTTAAGTAGCATATATGAGTGCGGAGCGGTAGACGGATGTATTACTGCAATTTACCGCCGCCGCAGCTAGTTGTCAAAGTTCAGTAGAACTGGAGGCGAGCCAACGCGGCTACTGCACGCACTTCCAGGTGCTACACGCTTTCATTGCTTTCATTGGTACAATATTAAGTTTTAATGAAATCATGGAGTCATTTATTTTTGTCAAGATATCAAAGTCCTATTGTGTATCAAACCTGATTAGCTTAAACTGCTTGAACAGATAGGATTAATAGAGTATATTTGTTTTTCAAAAGTCATTGGCCTTTTCGTCCTTCTCTTGTCTTATTGTGGACGAGCTTCCTGGTGAGATCACGTTTATTTTGTAGCAACATTCTCTACCCCTTTTGTCTACATGCTTTAATCGGTCCCATGTTTTGAAACAATTTATTTGTACGGATTGGTCGCGTCAGGCGGGACAACGGTGAAATTAATCTGATTCTTTTCTTGCCGAGTCACGCTGCTTCCGTCGTTAAATTAAAATGTAGGGAAAAGGGATTTCTTATTACTTTTTATCTCGAAAGGCGTTATACGTGCGCCATTGTTGTGCATCGTTATATAATGGAAGCGTAGTCGTATGACCACCCGAGACTTCTCGCTGAGCTCTTATTTTAC